ATCACAGTGATGAAATGCTAATAGGGACAAGAGGTCGGTGGGCATTTAACTCAAGCCAAGTTTACCGAATGGAATAAACCTCTAATTGGAAGCCTGGATTCCACATTAAAAGCCATTCTCCACCTGATACCTTTTAAAGATACTGCTGTAGTATCTAAATTTCATGGATTTCACTCATGCCAGGTCCCCAAGAAGTATCACCATGAAGCAATGACACAGCACAGCACCTGCTTCCTGCAGCCTCGAGCCGAGGGGCAAAGTGGAGAAAGAGGCAGGGTTTCTCCTTTAGGTTCCCTGCTTCTCATTTTGTAATCTTTTAACCCCTTCCAGGCAGTTCCAGTCTCCTCCAATAACCTGTTTAGTGGGCTTCTGTTGTGTCTGCCCTTCTAGTAAATAATAATCCAGATATTTATCAGAGGATGGGTTTCCTGGGTGGCTCACTGGTAAAGAATCTGCCTGGCAAGCAGGAGACATGGGTTCAATCCCTGGGTCAGGAAGACCCCTTGGAGAAAGAAATGTCAAGCCATTCCAGTATTCTTGCCTGGGAAATGCCATGGACAGAGAAACCTGACAGGCTACAGTTCATGGGGTCATAAAGAGTTGGATATGACTTACTGACTTAACAGCGGCAGCAGAATTTGTCAGGAGAACTGCCCCTTCCCCACTTTCAGCCTATGTAGGTCTGGTGAAACTGACACCCCTCTGACTATGAGGTCGAGCAGATGAGCCACGCTTAGGCCAATCATTTCATTCTGTTTCATGGCCATGTGATTGGTCCTGGATGGGCATGTAACCCGGGTAGATCCTATGAGAGGCAGTGAGATTTTCATGGGTATTTCTGAAAAATAGGCTTGCACTTTCTCCTCTGGACTGGACACTTGAGAGGATGCACAGCTGAACCTGTTACCATCTTCTTGCAGTCACAGGAAACTGAGATTAATTCCATCAGTGTCATAGGCAGGTCTGAGAGCTGGGAACAAAAACCAAACCAAAACCCCTGCCTTCCAATGATAATGTATAAGCCCTAAATCCAGCTATGCCTTCAGCCCTACCTTGGAGTATTAAACTAGGCTTGTCAACAAGTTCTTCTTTTGCTTAAGCCAAGATTGTGGCATGTTTTCTGCCACTTGTAATCAGAAGACAGATACACCCAGGAACCTCTAGTTCTTTCTCATTGACCCACATCAAAATCTACTTTCGGGAAAGGATTGGCCTTTGTAGATTATGAACTCTGCTAATGCTTCAAAGTATGGCTCCTTCAAGAGAATTTTTAGTCTTCAGCAAATGTTCGTTTAGCAAAATATTGAGCCCCTTCTGTTGCAAAGAGACAAGGGAGAGTATGCTAGGAGGAAGGGATAGTCTAACTTTCCCACTGAACTCACTGTTTTAGTCTCTAGTTTTGGTCATTCAGATTAGTTCTGACTTAGCGACTAAGTATCTGACTAATCCTTCTGCCAAAAACAATGATAAATTCTGGACCTAAAACAAGACAATAACAAAACCTGTTCTAAGGTCCTGGAGAGCAACCAAAATGGTTTCGTTCTGAAGACAAAAGCTGCAGAAGATATGACCTTGAGAAAAGGGAAGCCCGCTGGGTGAGGTCTATGCCAATCAGGCATTTCCTCTGATGGCGCTCACCTCCTCCCATGGTGGCAGGAGACGGAGCTCAATTGGAAACTGGCAGCCTTTTGGGGCTGAGGGGCAGAAGGTGGGCTTTGGGGCTTCCACACGCAACTGAAAGCTGGAAAGGAAGGAGTCCCAGAAAGGAGGGTCCCTCAGAAGGGGAGTGCCCAAATCTAGGTACAGACTTCCCTCCAATCCCCAGCTGACTCCTGGACAGTGCATGTGCAGAGTGAGGTGCAGGGAGCCCCGGGAAGAGCAACAGCTGGAAGGCTAATCTACAGATGCTTTATGTTGGGAGATGGAGTTTAGAGTTCAATTCATGCCCAGTTAGAGGACTCGGCAAACACCTAAGACTTTCCACAGACACCAGAGGGCACAGCTTAGGGGTAAGGATCACTTCCCAGGACTAGAGCCTTGCCCTAGAAATAAAGGCAAATCACAAATAGACTGCCCCCCCCCCCCCCGAACAGAGCTTAAAACCAGTTCTTCATAGCTGCATTATTTAATACGATAACATCTACATACACGTGGCCTTAACAATTTGACTAAAATTAAATAGAACTCAAAATGCAGTTCATCAGTCACTGGTCACATTTTAAATGCTTTTAGCCACTTGTGGTTGATGTCCATTGTCCTGGACTGTGTATAGAACATTTCTATCACAAAAGTTCTATTGAATGCTGTGGCTCCAGAGGTTCAAGATAATATGCTAGTAATTTAACTGCTTGCAACAAATCTCAACTTTCTTTAAAGAAAGATAGTAGAATCTAAATTCTCTTCAATTTATTGTCCATAAGACTCAGTACACAATAAAAATATTAATGTGCAAAGAAGCAGGAAAATGTAATCCATAGTAAAGAGAACCAGCAGTCAATTAACACACCCACAAACTAAAGAGCCTCTTGATGAGGGTGAAAAAAGAGAGTGAAAAAACTGTCTTAAAACTCAACATTCTAAAAACTAAGATCATGGCATCTGGTCCTGTCACTTCATAGCAAATGGAGCAAAAATGGAAACAGTGACAGATTTTATTTTCTTAGGTTCCAAAACCACTGTGGATGGTGACTACAGCCATGAAATTAAAAGACTCTTACTCCTTGGAAGAAAAGTTATGACAAACCTAGACAGCATATTAAAAAGCAGAGACATCACTTTGCTGACAAAGGTCTGTGTAGTCAAGGCTATGGTTTTTCCAATAGTCATGTACAGATATGAAAGTTGGACCATAATGAAGGCTGAGAGCAGAAGAATTGATGATTTCAAACAAATAAAGTGTATAAAATTGAAGACTCATTGGTTAGGCACAATGAAAAATGCAGCACATGAAATTATCAGCAAACTTGTAGATAAATCAATGGATATTATCGAAACAAAGAGGGAGAAAAAAGTAAAAGAAAAAGAACAGGGCCTTAGGCTGTGGGATAGTATCAAGCAATCTAGCATATGTGTAATTAGAATCCCAGAGAGAGGAGACAGCAGATGAAGAAGAAAAGGTATTTGAAGAAATATTATAAATTTTTTAAATTTGACAAAAAATAATCTCAGCAGACCCCAAATAGAATAATTTCAGCCATTTACATGTCTTTGATTTAACACCCAGCCTCACCCACTCACCAATAAGGAGAACTTCTTTAAGTGCAATAGGGCCTGGGGTAGGCTATAAACATTGAGAAGAAGCAGTGATGCTGACAGAACTCGCAGATCTTGTTCCAGAATTTGGCTGACTCCAGGAAGCAATTTTAGAGGACACTTTTCCTATCCAATAATCTGTTGTTCCTTTTTGAGGCCAACTGAGATGGGGTCTCCCAACATTTTACCTTGATTTGACTCCAACTTAAATTCAACTTGAAGATCATGTTACATTTATATGGGGATTAACAGGGATTTCTGAGAGCTAGAAAAAGATGGGATGGGGTAGGGTAGAAATAAAGGAAAGCTAACTCAAACCACAAATAGCCTCATATTAGGAATCAGGTTGAATGAGGGAAATAAAAGATTGGGGACTTCTCGAATGGTCAGGCAGTTAAGATTTCACCTTCCAACACATGGGGTGTGAGTTCAGTCTCTGATTGGGGGAGCTAATATCCCACATGCCTCAGAGCCAAAAAAGTAAAACATAAAACAGAAGCAATATGGTAACAAATTCAATAAAGTCTTTAGAAATGGTCCACATAATTCTTTAAAAAAGAAAAAATGATTGGCAGGAATTGCCCCCAATAACTCACATTCCTGCTGGGTACTGTTCTGTTACACAGGCCACCTAGGAGGCTTTTTATGGCAAATAATAGCAATTTAAAAAAATTAAAAAGCAAACTATGCCAAACTGACTTACCTATGAAAAAACTCATCACCTTACAAAACTGAAACTCCAGAAGTAGGGTAGGCTCCAGGGCTGGTTGATTCAGCAACTCGGCGATGTCAATAAGAACCTGTGTTTTCTCTTCCCTGTTGCACTCTTCTCCACAAAGTCTTCATCTTAAGATTGAGTCTCTTCAGGTTTTAAGAAATCTGCCAGCACACGGGGTTATTTGTGTAGACTTGTTTACATCTAGCAGGAGAAAGAAAAAGCAAGAAAACTCCTCCTTCAAGCAAGGAATATAAATCCTTCCCTTTGGTCTGATTCAGCCAACTTAAGTTGTGCCGATAAGGGGAAAAGTATTTATTGAAGTAAGATTTTCAAACTGAGATGTGTAGGGTAACTTTAAGCTTGAGTTTCTGCTCAGGTTCCTAGGAGGGGCCTCTGATATCACGGAGGTTCTGAAGCTACCGATCTTGATCATTTAGAAGTAAATCTCCTGTAGCAAGAGTAAATTACATTCTCGCTTATTTTATGTTGCTAAGGAGCAAACTGACAAGCCTATGCTCACCTGCACTGTGGTGATTTCTGTAGGATCAGCCATCTCTCCATTCCCTCAAGACAAGCAGGAGCACACTGTTTGAGACCATTTATAAGCATTTTACGGATGTGAGAGTTGGATCATAAAAAAGGCTGAGTGCAGAAGAATTGATGCTTTCGAATTATGGTGCTGGAGAAGACTTGTGAGAGTCCCTTGGACTGTAAGGAGATCAAACCAGTCAATCCTGAAGGAAATCAACCCTGAGTATTCATTAGAAGGACTGATGCTGAAGCTGAAGCTCCAATACTTTGGCCACATGGTGCAAAGAGCTGACCTATTGGAAACGAGCCTGATGCTGGGAAGGATCGAGGGCAGGAGGAGAAAGAGATGACAGAGGACGAGATGATTGGATGGCATCACTGGTTCAATGGACATGAGTTTGAGCAAACTCTGAGAGTGAAAAACGGAGAAGCCTGGCATGTTGCTGTCCATGAGGTCGCAAAGAGTCAGACATGACTTAGCAACTGAACAATAGCAACAAATAAGCATTTTAGGTGAGAGATGATAATAATCAGAGTACCAATAATAGAGGCAATCTGCTCACAGCATCATCCATAAAATATGGAGGACTCTCACAACAACAACAAAATCCCAAACAATAATCACAAGACAACATGAAATTAAACAACACTGATTGAAAATTATGTGAAGAGTTTTGAGTGAAAGCACCCAAAGGGCAATAATTTGTTATGTGATTATTCTAAGTCATCCTGTAGCAAACAGAAAACAGTTTAAGTGTATTTTTTACATATGCACTCCAGATAAGCACTCCAACTTGGTCTATTTATTATGGTGCATGAGTATCCTTCCTAGGAATGATGAAAAACAATGACAAACACTTGTGATCTATTTGTCAAGACTGGGTCACAGCTTTCAGCCTAAGAATTAGTATTAGTAATCAAGTCAGGAGGAAAGGAAAAAACCTTATTGGGAGAGCCAAAGGGAAAATTGTAAGTTCAGTTTCACTGTTTACACATGGACTTTTGTTTTACTTAGTAATACCTGCAGAGTTTGTTTAGCCATCTATGGTACTGTTAAAAAGTCCTGAAAGTTTAGTCTCATGTCATCTTTTTTATTGAGGACAGACATCAGTTACGTGGTCATTGAAGCACCCTGAAGCATGATCTTTGAAGCACCCTGGCTGCCCAGTAATCCCATTCATTGCCCTAGATGTGCTGAGAATGGGTTGAAGCAGAGGGTGGATACCCACACAGAAGTGGAGAGGGGTTACAGCAGCACAGAGAAATGTTTGGAGGACAAGAGCAAGTACAAGGCCATAAGATGAGGTAAGAGGCAGACATAGAAAACCTAGAGAACAGTGAGCTAAACTGTCCTTGTGTGCTAAACTGCTTTAGCCATGTCTGACTCTGCGATCCTGGGGACTGTAGCCATGCAGGCTTCTCCATCTGTGGGATTCTCCAGGCAAGAATACTGGAGTGGGTTGCCATGTCCTCCTCCAGGGGATCTTCCCAACCCAGGGATCAAACCCAAGTCTCTTATGTCTCCTGCATTGGCAGGGGGGTCCTTTACCACTAGCATCACCTGGGAAGCCCACACTGTCCTTGGTGGGAGTCTTTTTAAACCATGGAGTTTGGCAAACTAGGAAAATAGGAGACGAAGGTAAAACTCATGCCAGACTCAGCAAACAGCAGCTGGAACCAGAGAAACCCAAGGACAGCCCTGAGCATGGAGAAAATACTGCTGGTTAGGCATTGTTCTCCAGAGCCAGACCATATACAGAGGGTCACCCTTGAAAGTGAAGGATGACTTGACTTGGCATATGTGTCTGTCTTTGAAAAGCAGTATAATGCTTTCTGGACACAGATACTTATTTTCCATCTTCCTAATGGCAACACTTTTTATAAGCTGTGATCCAAACGTACTCAAGTTGAAGCCTCCCTCTTCATCCCTGCTCACATCAGCGGCTGGAGAACCTCTCTCTCCTTGCCTGAATTGAAACTCAGCTCTACCCAAAGAGTAGCAATTCTTTTTCAGCTCTCTCAAGTATTCTTCCACCACTCACACCCCCAGGATAAGGGGTGGGAATAACCTGTCCCCATTCCCTGGTGCAGAATCCAAACATTCCTGTAAAAGTGGCTGCTCTCGGAAGTTCTGGTGTTGTTGACATCCACTGGCCACCAAAACACTCCTTCTCCTTCCCTGAGAACTTCTCCTTCTAGCTCACCATATGCCCTCACACTACAACCCTGCCATCCTTCTAGTGGATGGGACAATACCCATAGATGACATAATCAGTATTCTGGCCTCTCAGTTCTTTAATCAAACCCATCTCTGCCAGCACCTACTTCTCTGTCACACCATGGATTTTGTCATCTGTCAAATCTCCCCTCTGTCCATAATCCCATCTCATTCTAGGCTAGTCTGCTTTCTCACCTACTCTGTGCCCAAACCTTGCATGCATGCGTGCTAAGTTGCTTCAGTTGTGTTTGACTCTGTGATCCCATGAACTGTAGCCCCCACTAGGCTCCTCTGTCCATGGGATTCTCCAGGCAAGAATACAGGAGTGGGTTGCTTTGCCCTCCTCCATGGAATCTTTCTGACCCAGGGATCAAACCCTCATCTCTTGCATCTCCTGCATTGGCAGGCAGATTATTTCCCACTAGTGTTACCTAGGAAGCCCATGCCCCAACTTTACTGGAGCCCTTAATCTCCTGGCTCCTCTACTTTTCCTTATCCGTCAACCTACCCTATTTTTGCTTCCCTTTGAAGCCACATCAGATACATGGTCCATTATATCAGTCACTGTCTCGCCAACACCCTAAACTTACTGATCTATCTCATCTTTTTATCACTCTTTCACTTGGGGGGGAAAATCAATCCTGGAAGAACTCACTACTGTACTTTTTTTTCATGTCTCTACCTCAGCAGCAAAGCATAACTGGAGAAGGATCCCCCCAGCCTAGAAAAGTCTTCTCCATCATCACCCCAGTCTCTGGGGAATCCCACTGTCCTCTTGTCCACTCATCTTTCAGTCTTTGAACAACCATTTCAAACTTTCCAAGTCTCTAGCCCCTGTCTCATCCCCCTCTAGTGCCAGGTGTCTTTGTTCATACTTCAGAGAAGAAACAGAGGCCCTCAGGCGGGAATTCCTGCCACCTGCACCCATAATCCAACCTGTATCTGTACTAGTGCCTGAACCCATTCTCTGCACTTCCCTCCTGACAAAATGAAACTGATGTTCCTCCTTCTTGAAAGATCAGTCCCCTTCGCCAACCCATGGATTCCAACCATCTCAGAAAAGGTATGTCACCAAATACCCCCCTTTTCTAACCTTCTTCTGTTCCCTTCTTAAAGAATTTTTTTGGTCAGCATCTAAACATGCTCTAATCACTCCTATTCTTAAGAAATCCCACTCCTGGACCCCAAATTTCCTTCATGGTTCTACTCTTTTCCTCTCTTCCCTTTCACACCCAAAATGGTTGGGAGAGTTGTGCGTAGTCATTGTTTGCCGTCATTCAGCACCTGTTTACTCATCAACCTCACCTAACTGGCATCTTCCCCTACTTCTTTTTTAAAGCTCTTTTTATTAAGTGTCCAGTGACCTCCACACCCCTAAATCTTAGGGACACACCCCAGACTTCCTTGTATGTGACCTCTCAGAGCTGAACTGATTTAACCTTCCTTCTATTTTTTATTGGTATCTAAGCTCAGATATGCAGATGACGCCACCCTTATGGCAGAAAGTGAAGAAGAACTAAAGAGGCTCTTGATGAAAGTAGAAGAGGAGAGTGAAAAAGTAGGCTTNTGGGTTTGAGCAAGCTCTGGGAGTTGGTGATGGACAGGGAGGCCTGGTGTGCTGCGGTCATGGGGTCACAAAGAGTCGGACACGACTGAACTGAACTGAACTGAGCTGAACTGAAGCTGCCATACTCCCCTGGTTTTTCTTCCACCACTATTGCTCAATTTCTCTGTCCCTTGGCAGATTCTCCTCTTCTAACTTATCTTTAAATGTTGAAACTGCTTAGGTTCAACTCTAGATCCTCTCCTTTTCTTCTGCACCAAGTCATCTCACCCACTTTCATGACTTCATTTCTATTCTCTGAAATCCGTACAACAGCCCAGACTTTTCTCTAGTCTCCAGAGCTTCTCAGTTACCTGTTTTACATCTCTGCTTAGATGCCACCAGCCCATTTGTTTAGAACTAAAGTCATGGCCTTTTCCATCATGCCAGAGACCTTTCATTTTCCCCTCTGAATCCACTCTCCACCCAGAAGGCTGATTTAGTTGACTGTATCCACTGGCTTCCTTGACTCTGGCTTCCACTTGGGTTTCGCCACTGGGGATCCCTGGGAAGAGGCTGGAAACCAGGGAGAGAGTGAGGTCAAGGTGTTCACTCCCATAGCTCCCTGTCTGTGAGGTTGCCATAAGCTGCCCGAGTCCCTTGACTGAAGGTCGCTGCTTCTCTTAATGAGGCATCTCCACATGACCCTCCTCTTCAAGTCTAGGGCAGTTCTGCTCAGGGCTACCAACTCCTGGCTATTTGTCTTCTCTTTTGTGATTTCCATGTATTCTGTCTGTACCATCGCAAATAGTTCCCTCTTGAAATTACCTTCATATGAGCATCTGCTGTTTCTGTTTGGTATTCTGACTGATAGACATGCCGTTCCCATGCAGCAGTATATCTTAGACCTCATATTATGTTATATAGGTCTATCATATATTTTTAAAATTAAACCTTATGTTTTGAGATAGTGGTAGATTCATGGGCAGCTATAAGAAGTAATACAGGGAGATCCCAGCTACCCTCTAGCAAGTTTCCTCCAGTGGTAACTTCTTGAAAAATTGTAGTACAGCATCACAACTAGGATACTGAGAGTGACACAGTCCATCAATCTTACACGTGTGTAGGTTCCTGTGTGAACCATCACAGTCAAGACCCAGAGCAGCTCCATCGCCATGACGATCCCTGGTGTTGCCCTTTTATACCCACCCCTCTGGCCTCTTGCACCTTCCCTCGCTTCTCACTCCAGACAACCACTCAGCTGTTCTCCATTTCTATCCTTTGGTCAGTACAGAAAAGTTATATAAATGTAATCATATAGCTCATCGCCTTTTGGAATTGGCTTTTTCATTCAGCATAACTCCCTGGGGATTCATCCAAGTTGTTGTGTATATCAACTTCTTGCTGAGTAGTATCCATGGTGTGGATGTACCAGTTGGTTTAACCTCTCAACCGCTAAAGGACAGCTGAAATGTTTCCAGTTTTTGACTGTTATGAATAAAGTTGTTTTGAACATTCACGACAATTTTTGTGTGAACATGAGTTTATATTTCTGTGGGATAAATACCCATGAGTATAATTACTGGGTTCTGTGGTAATTGCATGTTTAGAGGAAATCAACACACTTGTATGCTATGGATGTAAGTGTTAAGTAGAACAGTATTTTAGGAGAGTAGATGGGCCGTATTTATCTTTGTTCAGAATACATACACATTCTAACTCAATTTTGTTTTTAGAAACCTATCTTCAGAAATATCTGTATATTTGCTAAAAGATATATGTACCAGGACATTCACTGTAGCAATGTTTGCACTGGGATAAAATGTAAAACAATAAAAAATGGCCATACAATACTGTATAATTCTTTTTCTTTTAGACATTGAGTGGGTGCAAACTGTTACCTTGGGTTTTTTTTTTTTAACTTTTTGTTTTATATTTGAGGATAGAAGAATCAAGATTGTTGGGAGAAATACCAACAACTTCAGATATGCAAATAATACCACCCTAGTGGCAGAAAGCAAAGAGGAACTGAAGAACCTCTTGATGAAGGTGAAAGAGGAGAGTGAAAAGGCTGGCTTAAAACTCAACATTCAAAAAATTAGGATCAAGGTATCTGGTCCCATCACTTCACAGAAAATAGATGGGGAAAAAATGGAAACAATGAAGACTTTATTTTCTTGGGCTCCAAAATCACTGTGGATGGTGACTGTAGCCATGAAATTAAAAGACACTTGCTCCTTGGAAGAAAAGCTATTACAAACCCAGAGTGTATTAAAAAGCAGAGACATTACTTGGCCAACAAAGATCCGTCTAGTCAAAGCTATGATTTTTCCAGTAGTCATGTATGGATGTGAGAGCTGGACCATAAAGAAGGTTTAGTGCTGAAGAATTGATGCTTTTGAACTGTGGTGCTGGAGAAGACACTTGAGAGTCCCTTGGACTGCAAGATCAAACCAGTCAATCCTAAAGCAAATCAACCCTGAATATTCATTGGGAGGGCTGGGACTGATGCTGAAGCTGAAGCTCCAATACTTTGGCTACCTG